TGTATATATATATATATATATATATATATATATATATATATAAACTAGCAGGCTTCACCCACTATCACTTCACAAAATAAGATATATTCATTGTTTCAAATATTTGAAATTTGTAAAGTAAAATAAATACCAAATTACTATAAAGAAAAGCTAGGACATTTTAATCTCAGAATTCATGGGATAATTGAGCTCCAATTTATTCATATAGATTCCATAATATAGGTTTTACTTAATTTAGCTATTATGTTTTTCTAACTCTTCAAATGTTGAATGTACAACTAACCTAATTTCTATTTTCCCATCTTTACACTATATTAATATTATCTTATAAACTGCCCCCTGTTCCATCACCCATGAAATTAAAATTTGTATGGAAAATAAGGATCTATGTACATCAAATCGTCTTTAAATTAAGTGGCAACAGAAGAATTATTGTTGAACTTTTAAAAGGTAAGCGTAATTTTTTTTAAATTCAATACTTAAATGCAGCAATCAATTTTGAGTTCTTCTGTAGTTTATTAATACTTATCGCATCTACTTCTCCCTAGGTATTATGATGATGATGATGACCAAACCAAGAATCCTCCACAGGAGATAGCTTAAATGCCACCCAATAGGGCAGCTTTTATGCTAGCTTAAAATCTTAAGCTAGTTGCAATTTTGGATACAAAAGGAAAAATAAGAGTTACTCCCCTTGAACCATGAAAGCCATGATAATGGCTAGTATGATATATTTATATATATTTTTAACCTTGCATAATCTGGCAACCCTGAATCTGAGCTCGATGAAAATTGTTCTCAGCACCTAACATTTGTAGGACTTTTGAATGAGCTATGAATCACTGAAATCAGACCAGTGGGAATGGAGGAGTTGTTTCGGCACACTTACACACTAAACTTTATATATAAGTTGGTCAGAGTTGAATTAGACCAGGAAACAGTAGAATTAAAAAGTGCTCAATACATATAAAAAAAAAAAATTTAAATTTAACATGTAGAGCTTTTAAGAGATCAGCCAATCCCACTACCTTGGTTTCTAATATTTTATAGTATACACACACACAATATATATAAGAGAGAGAGAGAGAACATGCATTTCATCTCGTAAAGGAAGAAACCCCCTGAAACAAACAAGAACTGAAAGAAGCTGCTTTAAATGTCTGGCAAAGCATCATAAATGAAGAATGCTACATTTTGGTTATGTCAGGTGAGGGGGTCACAGGCTTTATGAAGTTATGGCAAGCAAATTTATGAAACCAAATATTAAATGTTATTTACATGAAGGATATCTTTCCTTTACATTTGCTCACCTAAAAATGGGGTAATCTTATACAAAAGGTGGTATATATCCGAAGCTGTTTAGCACATCTAAATGTAAATAAAAGGAAATAAAAAATGAATTTCTGAACTCGTCTCATATTGATCTTTTGATCTTAAACCTACATGTCTTCAATGAACAACAACAAAAAAAAAAAAAAAAGGAATTGACCTTGCTATTCGATTACTTTTTGAAGTAGAATATATATATATATATATATATAAAAAAGAAAAAAGGAATTGACCTTGCCATTCCATTACTTTTTGAAGTAGACTATATATATATATATATATATATATATATATAAATAAATAAATAAATAAATAATCGCCCACGTGACAACATGATCATATTTAAATGGAACACTGATCTTATAAAAGATTTTAGTTATCTGTTTGGATTGGTATTGCTTTTATGTCCATCGTCTTTTTCATGTTGAATTGTATATGGTCTATGTTAATTATGTTTTATGAATATGTCCTGAAGATGGTCTATTAGACCGAAACGTCTGACGTTGACATTAAACATTAAAACAGCATAATCGCATATTAGGATTTTTGTTTGTTTTTTCCGTATATTTTTCTTCATACTATCGGATCTATATCCATATATTTGCTTACATATATGTGTGTGTGTGTGTGTGTGTGTGTGTGTGTGTGTGTGTGTGTGATAAAAATCAAACTATTAGTCAGCCTGTCATAAATTGGCTGCTTAACAATTCATTTATTTATTTTTGCCACAAACCTCTTTTAACTTGACGAACATTGCCTGGGACTCCATGTCTGGAGATATGGACTCACTGCTACTCTCCTCGAGTTCAAACACTTCAATTGAAGCCTTGGATATCTCTTCCGGGGAGCTTACAAGCTCGCTGGAGGGCATCGATAAAGGAGTAGCTTCACCTGCCATAGGTTCTTCTAATGACTGATCAGCCTCTTCGAATTCCTGGTGTAGAAGGTGGCAAAAACAAGAATGAAAAACAGACAAATAGTTACTTACAAATTAAAATGTTTTTCTAGTAAATTCTAATGAACAAAAGTCATTCAGTGCAAATTAGCTGCCAGTTTAAAAAAAAAAAAAAATACAATTTACAGCAAAATCAAATTCATTTTAATTTTTTTCTGACATTAAGATAGAAATGACTTCTGTAAATGCAATGATTTATTTTATGTAATGAAACAGATGAGAAATCTTCACAAAATCATATTATTTGTAATCCTAAAAAACTGTGGAAGGGTGAACAGAAGGAGGGTTGCCTTGTAAAAATATTTGACTCCTCCACAAAGAAAAGTGTTGCAGAGTAGCTAACACCCCTTCAGCACTCTACCAGAAGCCTGGCTCAAAGCTTTAAATAGTCTACAATTAAGGACTTCAACAATTGATTAATAAGTTGATACTAAGCTGATTAATATTCAGACTGATCTTACTTTGTTTGGCTATACAGCATTTGAGCCTCCTCTATTCCTTATAAGTTGTCTTGTTAATTGTTTTGTAACTTATTGTTCTGTGTTTTTTTCTATGTATCCCATAAGCACCAGATACCGGTGCTGAATAAATACACTAAGAACTCATTCTTCTGTGTATCATTCACCTCGATGATACAACAGATTGGTGATGAGGATTTGAGAAATTGCAACTGAAACAACAGAGTTATGAAAAATAATTGGATAAAATGAAACAAGTGTAGCAAAGGACGAACAAGCACACAGAAACATTCATTGGAAGTACAAATTAACAAGCACTACTCGCTTACAAAAATGGAGGATTTTAAAAATTGCATGCTGGAATTTTTTAAAACAGCAAGAAATTTTACACAAACAGGAAAAATTTGAGAACTTATGTCAAGAAGACTTAGAAAAGCATCAAAAAGAAGTCAATCAACAAGGAAAAAGGTTTTCAAAATTACTGGAAATTCTCTCAAAAAGAAAAAAATGATCCAGGCAGCTCTAATATTTTTTCTCAGGATTCCGTAATCAACTCAATTGGTGAATTTTCAAACAAACCAGATGAAGAAGTCACATTTGATGCATACTTTTGGAGATATGAAAAAATATTCCAAAAAGACTGCAATAGGGTCAGATTGAAAAAAAAAAAAAAAAAAAAAAGCTACAATTATTGCTGGGTAAGCTCAGCACTGTGAAACATGAAAAGTATGCAGATTTTCTACTCCCAAGGCATCCTGGAGAAATTTCACTGCAGGAAACCATACAAATATTAACAAAAATATTCAGGGAGTAGAGTTCACTTTTCAGTACATGATGACAGTGCTTGAATCTTACAAAGGAAAATATGAGGACTACATGACTTTTGCCAATATAGTCAACAAAGAATGTGAAAAATTTAGATTGAGAAAAATTACACAAGATATGTTTAAATGCCTAATTTTCATTCAGAGACTAACTGCACCAAAAGATGAAGAAATAAGATTGAGATTGCTAATGAAACAAGAACAAGACCAAAAGATAACATTTCAAACTCTTGCGGATTAGTGTCAATTTATTTTAAATTTAAGGGCAGACATTGTGAAAATTGAGGAACGAGACATTACCCATATTCACGCAGCCCAGAATAAGCCAAAAAGTAAGAAAAAAGAAACTGCTTTTAAAATTAATTCTTGTTTTGGTTGTGGCAAATTACATTAATTTAAAAATTGCCCTTTTAAAGACAAAGAGCGTAAAAATTTTGGGAACAAAGGACATAAAATTTCCCATTGTATGAAAATGCCCAAAAATAAAACGAAAAATTTTGTTTTTTGTACTCTTGAACAAAAAGCAGTAGAGTCAATAAAAAGAAAATATATAAATGTTCAACTAAATAATAAAAAAAAATAAAATCAACAACAACCACCATAAATTTTGTAACCTGGAAAAGAATCAATAGACCAACATTAATTATTTCTATAAAAAAAAAAAAAAAAAAAAAAAAATTCACCAGAGGTGTGACAGGAGGAAAATTAAAATTCTTGGGCAAAATTGTCATAAATGTTTTTTTTCTCAGGGAAAGAGAAAAAATTAAAAGCATATGTCATGGATCAATTGCTAAATCTATTCAGTATGGACCGAATGGAAACATTGGACTTGTTCAATATACCAATAAACACATTTTGTAATATTGTAAATGGATTGTCAATCAACACCGAAAACAGAAAAGGGAACTCAAATCAAATTTTACAGAAATTTTTTTCGGATAATCTTGGATTTTGCTCAAAAGTAAAAGCAAAATTTGAATTAAAAGAATATGCAACACCAGTATTTCAACCAAGAAGGCAAGTACCTTTTGCAGCATTGGAGAATATTGACAAAGAACTTGAACAGCTAGAAAAATTGGAGGTAATTGGTGGGGGGTGGGGGTTTGGAGACAAAAAAAAAAAACTATAACCCCTGGGCAAGCCCGACCATATACGTAAAAATGAACAAGAAGCATTTGTGCAAATTATTAAACAGGAGTAAATGACTGCTTGAAACAAATTAATTATCCTCTCCCATTGGCAGATGGAATTATCGCGCAATTAAATAGGGGTCAGATATTTTCAAAGTTGGATTTATCGGAAACCTATCTGCAAATACCAGTCAATGAAAAGTGTGCTGAAATACTAACTATCAACATGCACAAAGGGCATTATAAATTTAGTAGACTACCTTTCGGAATAAAAAGTAGCACTAGCAATATTCCAACAGGTGATGGACATCATGTACAGTAGGTTAGACTTTGCAATAGCATATTGAGATGATATATTAATAAAAAATAAAACAAGAACAACAAGCAAGACATGTAAAGGAAGTTTTTAAAAAAAAAAATAAGAGTTTGGATTTAAGCTGACTATTGAAAAATGCAGATTTTTTTTTTTTTTTTATACCAAAAATCACTTGGGACAGATTATAGACAAAAAAGGAGGCCTGATCCTAGCTGTGTGAGCGCAATAAAGAATATGCCCATTCCAACAAATGTATCATCCCTACAATCATTTTTAGGCTTAACAAATTATTATAGCAATTACATCCCAAAGCTGTACACATTAAGAGCAACATTAAACAAACTTCTTAAAAAAGACAAAGTGGAATTGGTCGGTTGATTGCCAAAAGGTTTTTGATAACTTAAAAGCAACATTGACATTGGACCAAACTCTCATGCATTACAACCCTAATAAAGAGATTTATACTGCAAGTGATGCTAGTAATCTGGGTTTAGGGGTCATACTCTTACACAAAGAAAAAGATGGTCAGTTAAAGGCCATACATCATGTTTCAAGGACTTTGTTCCTGGCAGAAATGAATTTTTCACAAATTGAAAAAGAGGAGTCAGACCTGATATTTGCTGTTAAGAAATTTCACAAATACATACATGGAAGAGAGTTCGTTCTTCAAAATGACCATTGCCCTCTACTGTCTATATTTGGATCGAAAAAAGGAATTCCTACACATTCAGCTAATCGCTTACAAAGATGGGAACCATCTTGTTAAATTACTCTTTCAAAATGGAGTTTTTACAATCTAAGAAAATAGCACATGGTGATGGTTTGTCTAGGTTAATTCCAAAAATAAGAAAACAAATAGAAGAGTGAGCTATTGCTTCACTGAGTTCTAAAATGGATATTAAAAATGTTCTTTATAACACAATAAAATAACTACCAGTTACTTTGGAAGCAATAAGGTTCAAAGCAACATTTGATAAGTTTATTACAGAGAAAAGGAATGAGACAATGGACCAGGAGAAAAATAAAGAAAATAATATTTTTTTTCTATATGTAACGCTATATCGTTATATGGAGATTGGGTGGTAACAAAAAAAAAAAAAAAAAATCTTAAAGGATTTTCATATCGGACATCCAGGAATATCAAGAATGAAATCCCTCATTAAGAGAGATGTCTATTAGTATGGCATGAACAAAGAAATTGAAAATCTGGTAAAATCTTGCAAAAACTGTGAAATTCAATCCCTGGCCAAAGACTGATAAGCCATGGTCAAGGTTACACGCTGACTATGCTGGCTCAGTAAAGGGGACTTTTATTGTGGCCAGAAGTTTTTAAAGGTAAAACACCAACTAGTATAGTCACAATAGATTTTTTACATGAATTATTTGCTAGATTCAGTGTACCAGAGACTATTGTGTTCGACAACAGTACAGTTTTCTTCAAAAGATTTTGAAAATTTTTGTAAAATCCATTGAATTGTACACTTAACATCCCCACTCAACCACCCAAGGTCAAACGGAATGGTGGAAAGATTTACTGATGTGTTTAAGAGAGCAATTAAAAAGGCAAGTACAGGAATGGCTCTAACTCATGTTTGCAAGAAAAGTTTGTTCAGAATTCAATAAACTGAGACCTAAAGAAAAGAAAAGAAAATGGAGGAATGAAAAAATACCAAAATGGTAAACACTACAACCCCCAGCAAGAAAAATATATTTTAAGAATTATAAATTTAGAAAAGCAATGTGGGAAGAAGGAAGCATTGATATTTGGCAAAATGTTGTACTTGATAAAACATCCAAAGTTAAGAGACTTTTAAATCACAAAAAAAAAAAAAAAAAAAAAAAAAAAAAAATGGTACATGGTGGACGTAGATGAACGCAACAAGGAACCTATGATGGTGATTTATAATATGTTCGACGTATCTATGCCTCAACCAGTACAACAGATCAATCAAGTAAGCAAAAATGAATTCCAACAGGTCCTATGGACATAGACCCTAAATGATAGAAATATGTTGTCCAGTGAACATAAAATTTCAAAGGGAAGATGTTGTACAGTGGCTAGCACCCCTTCAAGCACTCTACCAGATGGCCTGGCTCAGCCTTAAATAGTCTACGATTAAGGACTTCAGCAGTTGATTAGTAAGTTGATACTAAGCTGATTAATATTCAGACTGATCTTATTTGACTATACAGCATTTGATTCTCCTCTATTCCTTGTAAGTTGTCTTATTAATTGTTTTGTAACTTATTGTGTTTTTTGGGGGTTTTTTTTGTATATATCCATTAGCACCAGATACTGGTGCTGAATAAATATATTAAGTACTCATTCTTCTGTGTATCATTTACCTTGACAATACAAAAAGAAAAGAAAAAAAATAGATAAAGTCTAAATCCCAAATTTTTATATTCCAAAAGAGTTTTCATGACAAAAAAAAAAAAAAAGACAAGAATTTAAAAACCGCTGCTCTTACTACTTCAACTCTGACTGTTATGCCAACCACTACTCTAACTACTTGTCCTTTTATTTATACCTGGCATGCAGATGTAGTAGTAAACACAAGAATACATGAATATTTAATAGGAAGAATGTATCTTACTTGAAGGGTATCAAATTTTTAATCATTTTGTTATATGCCATGCATGATACATGCATAGGCAATCATGTATCTCTCAATAGATGACTGACAAGGCAGATTTTTCCTGCAGTAATTTGCCATTTCTTTCTGTGGTAGACCAGTTGCCATCAAAGGCTATAGAACCCAGTCTTTCCCATTATTTACCCAAAGCTGGTGGGAGAAGAAGAGGATTCATACCTTTCCCAAGAATATTAGCATGTAAGTGAATGTAATGGTTCAACTGGAATTCAAACTCAGCTCTGATTCCTCATTCCGAGCCACTATCCATTACTTCACGATGCCTCCATTCTTTTAATAACTACATATGCTTGAAAGCTGAAAATTCACAGATTTGAAATTTTTATTAACTAATGTTTACCCAATACAAGGCCCAAAGACCACTCAAGGTAGAAGGTTACTGTATAGATTAGCTTAAGAAAGGACAAATATTAGGAGTACAGAGCTGAAAGAGACTTCAGAAAGAACCAGAAACCCAATCCTAAACAGGAAACAAAGGATAAATCTCTACTCTTGTTCAAAAGACTGGGAAGGAGTATGCTGTATAAATTTTATCTTTCTCCATAAATCATTAGTTAATTAAATTTTAAGTTGGTATCTGCTCAGTAGTGATATTGTATCTTATAATTTTCAATAAAAAAAGTGTTTATTTTATCTGAAACTGATTAATAGAATGTTTTAATTATGTGCCCACTATAATTAGTCTCATTTGTTTATTTTGCCAAATCTTAATTTATACAGATTTTCAAAATCTTTCTTTACAAGCACTACAAAATCAAATGGACACAAATTATCACAAAAGTTTTATCAACATGACAATTTTGTTGAAGGAAGAGAATAAAATTACAAAAAAAATGCTTACAGGATTCAAGATTCTATTCCTTTTATTGCATTTTTACTTTAAATGGAGTTGTTGTATTTATGAGATGGCATGAGAAGCACTTCGGTTTTATATAACTTCATTCAAAAAGCTACCTTCTGATTTAATTGTGATATATAACTGTCATAAATGCATTTTGAGAATGCATTTTCAGGCCAAGAACTTTTCAGCATTATATAACTGGTTAATATTCCACAATGGAGAGGAGAAAATATAGTTTTGCATAGGCACACTCATGCCCAGAAAGGGTCATTGGATGAATCGACTTCATTAAAAGACATGGCAAAAGAATTTTGTGCAACATTGCAGACATTCTTGAAAATAAAGTGCTTCAGAAACATTAAAGGACAAAGCATCTTTGAATATAATAAAAAAAAAAAAAAAAAAAAAAAAAAAAAAAAATGTTTATTCCTGCACCTTCTTGGAATCACATTTTCAGCTGACATGAAGTGGAGCGACTATATTGAATCAGTTCTATGTTTACTGCTAGGAAAGTTGGTGCACTGTGTTGTGCCAGACAATTTTTCTCATCAGAATTCATCTTGCACATTTAGAAGACCCTATATCTAGCAACAGGACTTTGTACCATTCGACACAAGCAAGAAAACCCACATGGCTGTCAAACAATTTCTACATCATCATCACCCCTTACATCTGGCCACCTAACTCCCTAGACTGCAACCCCCTTGATTATTATATGTGGGGACACAGCTGACCAACAAAACTCCTTGTAACATCAAAGATGAACTGGAGGCAAGAATTATGGCAGCATTCACCAACTTAAACAAGGAGACTGTCCAGAAGATTACAAAATCATCTGGAAGCTGTGGTTGAAGCCAATGGCTATTTTATTATGTTATAAATTTACTCTGCAGTATTTCAAGATATTTTTGTGTAATTTTGGTAAATATATCTGTTAATGTGAGATGTCAGTGTTATTTTCATTTTAGCATAATTTAGACGACAATTTATCCATCGCACTCCGTATTGTCCTATTTAGAAAACGAATAACCAAGATATTCTTCTATATATTGTTTTGACAAGGCATTTGGGCTTTCTGCAAATATCAGCATTTAATGGAACAAGGAAAATGTCTGGGAGATAAATTTCAATTACTTGTGCAAAACCTATGACAAAGCTGGGGTGGGAGTTGGGTACTCCAAATAATACAAAGTTAACTAACCTTTGCAAGCTCTTCCTCCTCCTCCTCCTCTTCTTCCTCCTCCTCCTCCTCAAGGTCTTCGTCCTCTAAGTCTTCTTCGTCAAGGTCTTCTGCCTCTTCTTCCTCCTCCTCCTCGTCTTCCTCCTCCTCCTCTAATTCACCATTTTCGTAGTCTTCATAGCACTGTTCTGCTTCATCCTTTGACTGGAATTCTGATTGCAGTTTTTCCAGACGTTCCTGGTCTTTCCTACGCATTTCTTCTTTCTTCCGGTCCTGGTCCAGGGACTGCTGGATCAACCGGGCTACTTCACTTTTGCTAGGGTCTTTCTCTCGGCCAATTTGAAATCTACAAAATAATGTCAATTGCTCCTTACAGAAAGACAAGCACTTGTGACAACTGAAATATAAATATATATTTATGTATTATTAAACACCAGATTTATATTCCTTAGAAAAAATTCAGTGAAACCAGTATATTTATTTTATCAGTTACCTATGCTCTGAAATATTTTTTTTTTTTTTTTAGGTGTTACTGAATGTCAGAGAATATGAGAAAAAAAGAAAAACACTATTAACAAGAGAGAAAAATAAAACAACAGGAATTAAGACAGAAGATAACAATTAACATTGCATTTAAATTTCTGAAGATCAAAGCTGACTGGGAAGCAAGAAGCTGGAAGAGAGTTCCACAAGCGAGAAGTGCAATAGAAGAAACTGTTAGCATAGAACTTACAGCTGCATGTAGCCATTTCAACTGTAAAATGATGAGACCTTGCCGCCAATCTAATAGTATGCTTAAATTCATAAAGTCTAGATACCATAGCGGAAAGTGATATTTGTAATCAATTACAAAATGTGGCACAAGGCCAAAATGGGGAATGGAGAAAAGGGGTGACCTTCATCTGTCTTAATTTTAAACTTAGCTAGCCACAAACACTGACCCAAACATACCACAATATTCCTAACCCCAAAACAACGCTTTCTTACTACATACACCATAATACCACATTGTCTCTATGAAAGTCCTTACTAGTCCCTATATGTACAATTCATTGTCTGTGGTGGAGTGGGGTAAAACAGCAATTTAAAAACTAGCCACAATTTTCATGTTTCACAATATGAAAACAAAACTATTTACAAAAAAAAAACAAATAAAATAATAGTGGGAAGTTCATCAAACCAATTACCATGCAAGTATTTACAGAAAAGACACAGGGAAAACTATGACAGAAAGTGACTGAAGCCCAGATTCCAGGTCAGGACATTGCAGATTCTTCTCTGGATTTTATCAAGAATCTCTAAATATAATTAGCAGCAACAAAGATGTATCTCTCCACACACACACACACACACACACACACACACACACACACACACACCCATTAGACCAGATGCAGCAACAATATTCAAATCATGGAAAATGGTAAACTTATAAATAAATATGTAAGATTCTGGCAAGGTGTTAATGCCAGAAAATAAAATGCTGAGACTAAGTTAGCCAAAATGTTTATTTAGTTAAATTACATTAGAAAGCTAATATTCTTGAAGGACAATGATAAGGTTGCCTGAAATATGGTAAAAGATAGAACCAAATGATAAAATATGTTCTTAAACAGCCTCGTCAGACCAAGACTTTCACATGGTTGTCACATATGGCCCCAAACCCAGTCAGAAATATCTGAACTGTCAGCTGCATACAACCACTTAAGATCAATTGTGAGGGAAAAAAAAAAAAAAAAAACTCTGAGCGAGTGAAATTTGAGGGTCTTGACAAAGACCATCCTTTTTTGAACACTGTAGACTAGTGCAACGGAATCACAAACTAAGAACCAAATAACAGAAACCACATCGCTTGAGAACTACAAACAGCAGCAACAAATAAACTGGATAATGCATGTAACTTGAAGGGAAAATAATGCCATAATCAAGATGGTAACATTCCCTACTAAATTAAAAAAAAGGTTAGGAAGGAAACCTCCCATCAATACTGAAAAGAGCAATGATAGCTACTGGATTTCAGAAACCCTTTTTCCTCAAAAAGGGTTTTAAGAGATTTGATAAATTTCACCAAAAGCAGTACTGGCTGTTGGGTCAATAAATGTAAAATGTTTCCTTATAGAGAAACAGCTAATATTGCCATTACCATATTTTTCAAAGAAATTCCTTATACCCAATACTCCTTATACTCAATAAATTGAATCAACATTTTATTCAACCCAATAGTATGACAGTCACTTCGAAAGTAATGCTCCCTACTTTGTTTTGATGACCCAGAATATCCAAAATAGATATTGGTCATATTACGATGTTGCAATCCCATCCTCAGTCACCAGGTGAGTCTGTGGTCAATCCTTATGGCCTACCTTGTAGTTTGTTATTTGATTATATTAATATTTCTGGTATTAAAACCCATTATTACACTTTCATAGTGTTTTGACCCCAGTTTAGGGTTAACTATTTGCCCATAGCTGGGACCCTAACAGGTGCTACCACCTCAGGCCAGGGTGGACCTGGGAACACCAGCAATTAAGAGGTGGTTCTATGCTCCTCAAAACCTCCTGATCAGAGGCTTTGCTGTCAGATGTAGTTTATCATCTTACCCAGGACACCAGTCACAATTGATGCTTTTCTGGTCTACCATTACTCGTGAATTGGGAGAGTACGTTGTATGCATACTGGACACTGTATTTGACAAATAACAATCTTACCTGACTGTACCACTGGTGTTTCTCAGGACTGAAGCCGCATATGCTTGTGTCACGCCTACCAAACTTTTGCCATCAACTTCAATGATTTGGTCATTGACTTTGATTCTAAAATTAAAAAAAAAAAAAAAATAATTTTAAAAATACAGTTAAAAGATCAAACCTGCAACTGAATTGCTGGTATTTATTTCATATAAAAAAAGAAAAAAAAAATGTAATTCTGTTTGGTTTCAGAAATTTCTAAAAAACAAAATCTTTGAGATAATGCACTTGATGAAAATCACATTAACTTTCAAATTTCCCTGTAAGACAAAAGTAACAAGAATTTCAATATTTTTTGGCTTCATTTAAGTTGTAAGAATATTTTTTTAAATCAATGTAGTCCATGATTAAATTTAATTGGCAGAAATGACCAACAAACAAAATTTACAAAGTTTCCAGCAAATGAGAAAAGAAAGAGTATATATATATATATATATATATATATATATATATATATATATGGCTGTATTATTGTAAAAATAAATATGGCTGTTTTATTGTAAAAAAAAAAAAAAAAAAATAATAAATATGGCTGTTTTATTGTAAAAACTAGTACAATATGAGTATGCACAACTCGTCACAAGTCAATCCAGTAGTGAGGGCTACCATTGAAAGATTGGTAGTTCTCTCATAAGTTTGAGTAGTACTCAACAGATCCCAGCTATTGGGTACAATAAAATCCCAGCATGCATTTGTATTATTTATTTATAAATTTGGGGAGTGGGATGTTTTTGCAGTCATTCCTTACTGACAATGGTTACTTTAAATCTAATTCTTATTCCTATAAAGGTTATATGCATACAGAAATGTATACTCAACTATATAACAAAAGATATATTTAGGCAGCAAACCCAAACAAATTTAATTAAAAAGAACCAACAAAGTTTGTCTGCTTAATTTTTATATTTTTTTCTAACCTTCAAATAAAGTATTGTGCTCAAAGTTGTAGATAAACTGCCCAAGTTCATATAGATAGTTTATCCAGAACTTCAAGTACAATATACAAGCTTATTTGAAGGTTGGAAAAAAAATAATAAAAAACCAAACAGACTGCTTCAAGGGTTTTTCCAGTTCTATCGAAAGTCAGTCTTAGAAAATAAATAATTTGTGAAACACCATTATAATAAATGTCTTATATTAAGTCCAAGCTAGAATCAGACTTTAGAGTGACATCATTGCTTTAGTTTGGAAGACATTGAGACATTAAACTGTGAGGGGGAGTTATTTAGTCTGACAAATGTCCTTTGGCTCTCTTCAGGTAACTTTTAGGGAGTTTCAAAATGAAAGCTTTATTTAATAAGTACTGGTCAGTTATTTATAAATTCCACAGAGTCTGTGTGTGCACTACCAGCCCAGGGATTGAACTCACAATTACTATGCCATCAAAATCATAAACCAATTCTTCAAACTTTAAAGTGAAAAAAAAAAAAAATTCCCTAAACATAGGCAGCAAAATGAAAATAATCCCTGTTGATTAAATAAAGGATACTTGAAGCCCCAAAGGAACTCCAGCCAAAATGTTGTGACAACAAAAGATAAGGATATTAGTCTGATTGGAAAACATGAAGAGCTTTTTTTGGGGGTGGTGGGGGTGGTTATCTTTCAATAAGTAGTTTGCTTTTGAGATACCCCCACCCTGTACACACACCAGAAATGATTCCAATATACAAGGGTAAATCAAAAAGTAAAGGGAATTTTCACATAAAACCTTTATTTCAAAATTGCTTTCACTTTTTGGTTTATCTTCATATTCCCCCTCCCATTTTGTTTACATCTACCTTTCAGTTCTTTCCCATATTTTAGAGCATAAAAACTAAAATCGACACAATGCTATGACTTAAAGCAATAAATACAAAATTGTAAAAAATTTTAAACAAGAATTAATTGAGAATCTTATTATAAAACACAGATTGTGTGTGTGTGTGTGTGTGTGTGTGTGTGTGTGTGTGTTCGTTTATATATTGGATCGGATTTCCTACATTTTTCAACCGATTTCAACAAAACTTCACAGGACTATGTAAAGTTACCTTGCGGTGGTTCTGGCAGTGCCAAAAATTGGAAAAAACAATTGTATTTGCACGAAATCAATTTGAAAACACGATTAAGAAGCATCGCAAGAATGAAAGGGGGACAACTCATATCGAGCTATACTTATTATAAAACCCAGGTTGTTTGTGTGTGTTCATTTATATATGGGATCAGATTTCCTACATTTTTCAACAGATTTCAACAAAACTTCTTTTTTTTTGGCAGGTAGTGTTTCTTATTGTCTTGCACACGTTTTTCATTATTTTTACATTCAGAATGCTTTAAAAATTCCATTTACAAGACAATTGTTTATAATAAAATTCTATTCAATCGATAGACTCATAACGATTGAAAACAATGTTTTTGTTTGAGTTTGACCAATTCGTAAAAAGAAAAAACAAAAAAATAAAAAAAAAACTAATTAAGACATGCATGTCCATCAACCTTAAACAATAATCTTTGTCAATTTTTTTTTTTCAATCTTTATGATGGTCGATACTTGATCTATCTCTTACTGTTACATCCCCGGGCAACGCTGGGCTCTACTGCTAGTTCTTAATAAATAATGTGTTTTCATTTAAAACAAAAGAACTTTCACAAATACAAATACCAGATTCACTATATTAGTACATGGTAATGAGGTTCACTAACCATGCACTTCATACAAGATGACAGGCTGAAAAGTTTTTCTCTCATAGATGCAAACCCACAAAATTTGCCTCCCATAATTTTTTTTTTTAAACAGTCAACCTATGTCCATATGGGGCTTAAATGCAATACCAGCAATAAATTAGGTGCGAGTCTTATTCTTGTGTTCACATACACACACACAAAAAAAAAAAAAAAAAATTCTAACACCTATAAGTTTTGGCAACTCATCCATCAGCCTTTTGCAATAAATTCTTAACCAAAGACTTTATTGATTCTATAAATGAATACAGTTCCAATGAATTCCTGTATGAACAATAAAAGAAACTTCTGAGGAAATTGAGTGAGGGGATGGAGATTACAAAAGGTAGACAGATAGAATGGGGACAAAGAAGAGACAGACAAAGAAAAAAAAAAAAAAAAAGTAAAGAGTGGGGGGAAGGGCAGAAAAAGAGAAATAATATACAAATATATGTCGTTTTTCCTTCCATATTTAAAAGCAAGTGGACCTTTTTATTACCATTCAACAGATATTTTACAAAGATTTTTTTAACGAATTATGAACCTTAAAGGCATTTTTATTTTCCATTTCTTTATATTTCTCTCAAACTATATATATATATATATATATATATATAAATGAAAAAACATAAAAGATCTTTACAGATCGTTTTCCCAGTAAATTTATTTCCATCCTGTTCCATCTGCTGCTTTCATTCTATAATCAGTAGTCTACAAAGATGGTAAATGGAGATGTCAGCAAGAAGTGTAGAAGTCCCCCCTACACCACATCTGTTAAGCTTAAAGCATGAAGCAGGGTATAGCCAAAACAAACATAGATGAAAAGGATTTAATATATTTTAACTCTAAGAGAAGTTAGACCAATAAAACAAGATCAATTCATATCACTGGTAATCCTTTCTCGTAATAAATTTAAGTTTATCCTGAACAGGAAAATTTGGAAATTTAAAGCTCTCACCTTATATATATATATATATATATTTTAAAAACTCACAACTGGAAACAATACAAATTAATTTTATTTCTCGTTTTTAAACTTTCCACGCACACAAAAAAAAAAAAAAGATATCTTATTCACTTTTTTCCAAATCACTTATTAAAAGATAATTATTTACATTTTTAAAATGGTTTTGAATGATTGAAACCTGAGAGCCTTTGCAAAAACTATCCTTCCTTGGGAATCACTTGAGGACTAGCAACAACTAAAATGGATAGCATAGAAGAGAAAAATCAAAATGTTGACATTCCACACTATTACAAACAAAAGGTTGGCAAAGAAACCCCTACCAATACTGAAAAAAAACAAACTACTAAACTTGAAAAATCTATTTCCCTAAAAACGTGTTTTAAGAGAAAAATTTTATAAATTTCAACTTACATGCAGTACTGGTTGTTCAGTCAGTGAATGCCAAATCTTTCCTTGTAGGGAGACAATTAATTTTACCATTGTACTAAATCCAAAATTTAGTTAATTATTTTAGAGTGAAAGATTTTTTAAATAAATAAAAATTTTACAATTTGAATTTGACATTTTTAAATTGATTTCAAATTAAAAGCATGAATAAAAAAAAATGAAATAAAGCCATACTCATATTGTGAGCAGAAATACCTCCCACATAATGGTAAGATATTAGTGGCAACGATGTCTTCATCTGGTTAATGTTTTACCATTATGTGGGTGGTACTTCTGCCACAACCTGTACAATCATTTAAAAATTGAAATTTTTTTGCAAATTACCTCAATTGAAATTAAAAAATTGTCAAAAATACTTTGATTTTCTCTAGTTTTTAGTCTTTTTTTGTTACACATCCGTCTACATTTGGTACGAGTGGAGAGGCTTCTAGTAGCTAGGTACTACTTTACTCAAGCTAGGAATGAACTCAAAGCCAAGAGACAAAGAATCAAAAAGGTACTGATCAGATGCAAAACCATTTTTGTTTTTCTACTAAGACACAAGGCATTACAGAGAGTGAACAAAACCTGAGAACAAAAAATCATTAAGGAGAGAGGACAATAAAAGAACAGGATTCAAAGAGACAGGAGTTGATGACTAACATTGCATTTAAATTTCGGACATCAAAATTAACCAGAAAGCAAGAAGCTGGAAGAGAGTTCCACAAGAAAGAAGTGCAAGAGAAAAAAACTTAGCATAAAACTTCTGATTACATTTCAACTGTAAAATAATGAGACCTAGTATTGTGCTTAAATTTGTAAAGTCAAGGTACCAAAGACAAAAGCTTATCAGAACAATTACCATGAAAATATTTACAGAAAAGGCAGAGGTAAGCTATATTATAGCAGTGAGAAAATGACTGAAGCTGAGATGCTAAGTCAAGGCTGATAACATTGCAAATTCTTCTTCGTATTA